AGATCTGTAGAATACCACACAGTGCACTGAATACCTACAGTGAGTAGTGCCATTTTGCTTTAGATGTGTGCAAGTGCATTTTGGACTTGGTCTTGGAGCCTGTTGTTGTTTGGAATAGCTCCCAGCCCCATGGGGGGCAGAGGGAGGGCAAAAGTTTTCTCTGGTTTTCTGACATTATGTATATAAGCCAGAAGCCAAGATGATTGTTTTAAATATTCATTTTTTTAAGGATTATTTAAAACTATTTAACGAGAATTGGAATGATACTGCCAAGTTCAAGGCTCTTAATATATTTCTTTCTTGCATAAAATGAGTATTTAAAAATTAAAATGAGCAGCTAATGTTTTTAGTGTTTCCTGTATTCTTCCCTACAGAACAAAGTAACTAGAAACTCTGATGTTTTCTTACTACAGGACTTTGGAAAGTGAAAATCAAAGAGCAGTTTTCGGAGAAATATGAACCATTTACCAATTAGTTTCCAACTGTATTTTTTAAATTAACCTACAAGGTACCTAAAATTTGCTTTTGCCAGTCTGCTTAACTCTCAAGGACTGACAATTCTCTGAACTTTCTATTTGCCAACTTTGTACATATTTGTACATATTCTGACATGCCTAAATTACTGAGATAGCCTTACCCCTTCCCCCCCGCCTTTTTTTTATTTGGGGCAGGGGAGAGCATTGAGACAATATCAATTTCATCTGCAAAGCTTTGCCAGAATTCCCTCTGTTAGTATGGATGTCGAGGACTCCATGGGAAATCAAAAAAATGTTAATCCACACTCTGACCTTTTCAGCTGCTCATTGGACCACCTTAGTAAAAAACAACTGTGGCCTCTGTGGAGGATCAGGTGACACTATGTCTGGAAATTTTTTTGGATCAGCTCTTTGTTTCTGTTTAACTTCTCAAAACGTATAGCGACTTGGGTTCTGTGCTGATTCTAACAGAATATTGTGCTTTGGGACCTGTAACAGTATATAGGCATATAAAATGCATATGAGCATTTTAAGTTACAGTAGCACTTGCCAGTTTTTTCAGCTTGTGCAGTTTTGTTTTGCAGTTGACTGGAGGCTGATTTCGTGCAATATAAAAATCTGCGCGGCAGCTCAGTTTCAGTGTTTTGAAGCCTATGCTATTTCCCTTCCTCTGTAGTGCTAGCTAATCGCTAGGCTCTGACAATATTTTTTTTACTAGTGATGGAGACAAAGCTTTGATCGCTTTTCTCTACACGCAGCTTTTGCACTCCAAGTTAGCCTACGCATCTCTAAGGTTAACATCTTGCCAATACTAATATTCAACTGAAATTTATTTTAATAGCTGGTGAACAGTCTTTAATCTTTGGTTCACTGAAAGGTGGAGCCTCATAACAGTGCCTTTCCATGCCTGCATACACATATACACATGCATAGGGTATAAACGGCTTTCATTTATATACTTGTACCATGTTTATTCCTTAAATGTGATATTTATCATCCAGTAGGGTGCTGGTAGAAAAATAAATTTGCAAATTGTACTCAATGTAAATTTGGATATTATGCCTGAATTATTTTCTTATAAATCCTCCCATTGGGGTTCAGTCCTTAATAGTTCCAGTTGAACTACATTGGTTGAAACACTTTAAAGAGGTTTTTGAGGGATTAAAAAAAAAAAAAAGCATTGTTTGCCTCTACTCTATTTGTGTTTTTTACTTTTCATACCCTTCATTTCCCAGTTCCAGTTGGGAGGGAAAGTGCTGTGTTACAGCTTTCTATGCAGTATTTTTGGACAAAGCAAAAGCAGGAAGTACCAGCAAGTTCACAGAAGAGCCAATTCTTGTTAGATTTCTTGTCCAATTTTACAGACCAAGAGCTTCAGATGAGATTTGACTAAGCGTCTACACTACTATATTTCTTCAGCATTTAATTTTAGCAAATCAAATCACGGGCAAATCATGGGTATATTTTGGTAAATGAGATTCATTCTTCTTGCATATAACTTTTCCTTTAAGATAATTAAGGCAGCAAGCTAATTCACTTTATTGCTTTAAACAAACAGTTCCTTTCCCCCAAAAATAGTTGCACAATTGCTATAGGCTTGATTAAAACTATTGAATTTTGTAGGCTAACCCCATCCTCCCTTTGAGAAATGCAAGAGATTGCCAAGAATATGTCACTGCCCCAAAACATAATACAAAACACAGGTTGTGCAATAATTCAACCAGTATGCAGAAAAAGACTTTGCTATGTGGTATTTTAGAGAGAAACAACAGAGATATGAGTAAGGCAAATGTAAGTTAAAGAAACTACTAAATACGAAATCAAAGAAAAGACGTTTCTCCAGTACATAACTTTCAAAGTCATAGATTTTGGCGCTCTAATTATGTTCTAGTTCTCACGGATCCTGGAAATAGAGTTTGTAAATTGCTTAGTGAAAGAAAATAATTTGGAAGTAAACTGAGAATTAAAAATTTTAATCAAAGTTAGCATAGCACTTTTGAAAATAATATTATTAAAGTAATTAGTGCCTTTTGGTTCTTTTAATCATGGGCGAAGCTTCCTACTGACAGCCTCAGACCATGGTAGATTCTTAATTGCTCTAAATGTAAATGTTTTTATTAGATTTACCAGCATTTATAGGCAGCCGAGAGAAGTTTCCACAAGTCATTTATTTCACTATGCTCTATTTGGAGACACAGCTGCTAAAAATAACCTAGGACCGCAAATCATCCTGATTTGTCTTGTCGTCCAGTAGGACACTGGAATATAAATGAATTAAAGTTTTCAATTAAAAGACTGAGCTGTTTGTTTTATCACTCAAACCACAGATTACTCACCTAGTATAAAACCTTATTTTAACAGGTTTAGTTGCTTAGCTTAAACTCCCAAAACATAGCCCAGAGTCAGGACTGAGAAGTCTGTGCTCACAATGAACCCTCCAAAGCTTAGCTTCTTTTCTGGATTAGCCATTTTTGTCTAATTTGGGAATAAACTCTGAGAGTCAATGACGGTTTTCATGGAAGGAATAGCCTCAGTCTGCCTGTACTGCTGGAGCTGGGGTTTGCTTAAAACTGCCAGTATTTGCAGCCATGTGTTTGGGGATTTAAAAGTAATTTCTCATCCTTCGTTCGTACTTAAACAACCACAGGATTAAATGTACGATCTATCTGTAATTGCCATTCCTGACTCTTCAGGAGGCAGTGTCCAAAAATGTTTAAAGACTTTTCTTCTCTGCTCATAACCAGCTGGCTGATCATTCCCAAAGAATATAGACAGCTTAGCTCATGGAAGACCTGATGATGATGCAGAAACCACTTTATTTAATACAAGGTAGGGGGCAAATGTTCTTTCTGCTCAGTTCACAATCTCTTGTATATAACTGTGCAGAAATGTACATACCAAATTAAAAATCTTAAAACCACAGATGACAGAAGCAGTTAACAGAGCCAGAAGATCAGTTCCCCTTCCTAAGGTTTTTCTATGACTACCAAAGTGTTTCAGAAAGCCAAATAGCTATTTCAGTTTATTTTTTAACATCACAGATAAGATGTGCATCTAGTAAAAAGAAAATGTCTCTTTCTGTTGCTATTCTTCTGAAATGCCAAGGGCATGAGATGCTGCATGAGATGGCAGAATCTCTGGTTTGATTCAACTCATCACCCAAGCAGAAAACTCACTCCTCCAAGGTTAGATGTCTGCTTGGAAGGCAATTTGAATAATCTCAGGGAGGGTTCACCAAGAACTAGAGCTGGTAAATGGTAAACTGAGTGCCAAGCTGGCCATGAGGGGTCACAGGGAGGTGGAAAAGCCTTTCAGATGAAGCCAAAGAAACTAAAGTCACCGTCATGTTGGGACTGTGCGGAAAAATCTCACTGTCAAGAACTGAATGTCCAAAAAGGAGACAGAGGAGTCCTAAAACTGTATTCAAATAAAGGGAGAGTCCACTGGGCACATCCCTGTGGGGTCTCTCAAATTGCTGGAGGACACAGCCCCTCTTTTATCTTAGTTTCCTAACACCCTCTCCTTTCCCCACTGGCCAAGGTACTTGGAAGTTACAGCCTTCCCGGCCCACCTATACCAAACTCCTGCGTCCCTCCATCTGTTCTCACCTAAGGTCACCTGACTCCTCTGTCCCCCTTCCTGAAGAACGTGGGGGAGCTCCCTTATTTCCCTTATTGTAAAGGCCCCCAACTCTTGGCATCTGCTCTTTTGTCCCACTCATTCAGGGCCCCCTCAGTCTCTCCCATCCCTTTGCTCTGCTCTTCAGGCAGACTGTGGGGGAATCCCCTTATTGGAGAATACACAAACCTGAGGGACCCACCTGTAAATGGCCTGACTAGTGCTCTGAAACCAGCAACAGTGGAAAAGAGCATGAGCAGCTCCTCAAAGATAAGAAAAATAGGTTAGTTGTTCTACAGCTAGGGATTTCTTTGGGGTGAGCACTTGGAAATCTACCTACCATTCCCTCTTTCCATCGCCATGTTTCTTTAGTGGGGAGAAAGAGAATAGACCTTCTTATAACCTAAACATGAGAGCAAAAGGAAAGCAGTGGTAGGCACTGCTGAACAAAACCAAATGTCACTGTGTGCCAGCACAGGAGGCCTCTATACATCCGCATCAAAGGCGTACTTGGGAAATACTAGCAGTGCTGGGTGGTGATGAACTTTTCTTTAGTAAATTACCTGCTTTAATATTCTTTATGTATTATTACTGATATTATTTTCCTGCTCATTCTGTGATGCCTATTGCTATAACGTTGTTACGAATTTTCTCTAAATTCTCATAATTATCAAACCCCGTGTTAACTATTTATACACTTCCCCAGCCGTTATTTCCCTGTTGTTAGGGGAAACTCTACCTTCTACCTTCCCTGGGTTCACTGCGCTCCCAGGATACCCGTTACTACAAAATCCCCGAAGGCAGCAGTCAGCCAGGCTTACTGAGCAGCCTCGCTGCCAGCACAACACCCTGTCAGGGCACTGGCGGCACTTTAACGACACTATCAGCACTTTAACGACACCGGGGGCGGCGCGGCGGCGGCCATGGACGAGGACGGGCTGCCCATCGTGGGCTCCGGCATCGACCTCGCCAAGGTACGCGGAGGCCGCGGCCGCGCGAGGACGAGCAGCAGCAAGCAGCAAGTTTCAGTGACGGCGAGGCACAAGGAGGAGCTGCCCTGAGGGGTGGGGGCCCCGCAGGGAGGGGGAAGCCGGAGGCGCGCGCTGAACTGCCTTTTTTTGCTCATTTTTAATTAATTAATTAATTAATTTATTTATTTATTTGGGCCAAGGAGCCTCTCCCTGTTAGGCTGAAAAGCAGGTGCGCGCGAAAGGCTCGCCTGGAGGAGCGACGCTCTGGTCTAGCTTTAGGAGAATCTTGCCTTGAAAATAAAAGCCAAGGTAGTAAAGAGAGACACAGATTTTAGTGGTCCCTATTTCTGGTTATGGTCTGTTGATAACAGTAACTGAATACCTGTGTTAATGGCCAAGTTTTCTTTTTCCTCCTTAAGCTTCAGAAGGAGAGATTCTCACCTGCTGCCCCCCTCCCCCCTCTTTTTTTTTCTTTAGTTTTAATGCAGATTCTCAAGGATTTCACCAACTTCCTTTAAAAGCGTTTTCCTCCATAAGGTAGCTGTCCTTTAGCTGTGTGGATGTTCCCTTTTCCACGTGGCCTGCTACTTTTCAAGTATGATGTTAGTAAGATTTTTAGTGAAAAAGGCTTTCTATATCAATGAACTATGAATATACATACGTATATTTATATATATATTTGAGCTCATAACAAGCCCATTTAGTGCTTACTTCTAAAATACTTTCTTACAAAATTTTGCATTTTTGAAAGAATTTTTCAGTCTGGAAATGACACCTATGTATAATCAAATTTTCTTATATTGTTTAATGCAGGTTCCTGCTATTCAGCAGAAAAGAACTGTAGCATTTCTAAACCAGTTTGTAGTTCACACGGTGCAGTTTCTCAACCGATTTTCTACTGTTTGTGAAGAGGTATGTTTAGTGTTTCCCCTCTGTCAATTTCTATACATGAAAAAGCAAATTCTAGAAATGAGAACCATTCAGTTTGGTGTGTTTGGCTGTCTGTTCAGAGTATCTCTTGAATAAAGACATAAGGTAGATTTTTTTTCCCCCCCAAATTATCCATTGTTGTACCAGACTGACAACTTATTTCCTTAAACTTTTGTATTTGGCACAATCTTCAGACTTTTGATACATGGATTTTTTTTTTTTTCTGAGCAGCTCGATTTATGAATATATTCAACTGCTCTATTCCTATGCTGTATCTGTTTTAAAAGTTGTCTTATCCTGGGATGCACATCAAAATTTTCTAGCAAAAGTTCGCCTTTTCTCTGAAAGGATGATATGTCAAACTCCCAATGTAACAGATACTCATGTGAAAAAAGGATATTTTTGGCAAGTTATTAGCTTGGAACATGAGGCAGGTGATTTTTCATGTTTTCTCAAAAAGATAAAAGTAAAACTAGTAAATGCTGATAAGTTTTTTTATGGTGAATTCAGTGTCAAAGAGAACATACCTGAATGACAGTACTAGAATTGGTCACAGAACAGGCCTACAGTGTCATCCCTGGTAGAAATCTTGGTTTCTTATGTGACTTGAGGCTTAACCTTTTTATCATTAGGGTCCCTTTGTAACTGTTAGCTCGTTTATTCGACGAAGACTGCTATACAGCCCGAGGCAGCAGCAGTTCTCATCTCCATTTAGATTAAGCCATTTAATCTGAGAAATTTTGTTATTTGTTAGAGAAGGTTTGAGCCAGCCCATGCCTAGTGTAAAATTTGGCTGCCATGTCAACATATGGAGATTCAGAGGAAAAAAGTAAACCTTTTTTCTGGATTTTTAACTTGTTTAAGTAGATATGTGTATAACTGCCTGATGATGATGTTGACAGTTGACCAAAACTAAATTGTCACGTGTCAATATTACACGGGCGCTTTGAAAATCCTAAATGTAGCTGTATATAAAGCCATGTTGAGTATGGAGCAACACTGTGAAGTCAAAGTCCATATTTTAAACTGCATAAATAAGTACTTAGTAAAACAATTTCTTAAACTAAATGTGGTGTTACCCAGTGGGTGAAATGGTTGCTTTATAAACTCCATGAAAAGTTTTTGTGTTTATGAAGTGCAGGAGTGTTTTGAATGTCAAAGGTCCCAGCGTAAATCAACAGAAGTCAGGAAATTCAAAATTAAGGCTGACACCATTCTCAACTCTAAATGCCTTGGCTCTTGTGTGGTCAAAGTAGACCTGTAAAATTATATAGCGGTCTTTTGTGCATGCTTCCTGCTCTTCCCCAAGTACATGCAGAGCATGTAGCTCCTTTCAGAAACTCCTCTTTGAGAACAGAGAGACATCTGTAAACAAGCCAGAGCGCCATCCAAAAAGGCTTAAATTTTGTCAATCTCCTTTTACTTCTCTAACATGTTGGCAGCCTTGCCATTTTCTTAGGGTGTTAAAGTTCAGCTTATAAGCCAGGCAGAGTTTTGCCAATGTGCCAAAAAGCTGTCAGAGTGGCGCATATCTGCCAGCCAAGATGCTAGCCAAATTCACTTGGACAGGTCCGGTGGAGTATGGTAATGATTAGTTGGAAGAGTGACAGTTCTTATAGAGAAATTTAGAAAAACATGGCATTATTTTCTAAAAAGCATTCATGAAACTTACGTGACGCGCGTATGGAGCGTATATGATTCTATGATATTCTGTGATTTTATGATACAAAGCTTCTGGTTTGTTGTTGTTCACTATGTTTTGACTATATATGATATTTATTCAGCTCCTGTATTCTTTATCAGTTCTTTCTTTTGTCTATGTGTGTTTATTCAGTTACAAACCCTACCCATGTTTTCATCTTTCACATTTGGAAAGAAAGAGCTTTGAAAAAAGTTATTTTTGTAACTGTCAGTGAGAATACAGTTGTCTACCATTTTTATCTGAATGCTCAAAATAATATCTTGGTTTTTTATTTAATTATGTATTTATATGTACAAGTGGACTGGGGAAGTGTTTTCATGTTTTAATTGTTTTCTGTCCTAGAAATTGTCAGCTCTCTCTCTCCGTATCCAACAAATTGAAACAACACTCAACATTTTGGATGCAAAGGTTTGTAATGTACGGACTTTGTGTTTAAGCAGTGATAGCTTTCTAGTTTTCAGTAGTCTGAACTGAGGAAATAAGTTTTCATCAAGATTAGAAAAAGCTAATACAAAAAGTTATGATGGCAAATACTCACTTTGCATGCCTGACTGCTTACATTTTATAATATTTGAACATGTAATTTATGTGAAAGAAAGAAACAGAAAGCATGTAGTACAAAAGTTCTTTTTTTCTCTGCTAGGCATATAGAGCTGGAAAGGAACATTTGGATCATGAAAGGGCAGCTGGAATACATGGCAACTTATTTATGTTGAGTTTATTGATATCTTTTTTTTAGAAGAAAAGGGAGGAAACTTTTGTGATACTGAAATACGCAACTTATATTACGAAGTTGCAGTATGAAGTTGCACTTGCCATGCAAGCTCTGGCAAGAAGTTCTTATCCCCTGTATAAAACAAAATTATCTTTGTAAGTATTACTGCACTTTTCAACTAGCTCCTTCCAGAATAATTTGCTAGATTGATCCCTTTAAAAAGCTTTTGATTTTGAAATGTGACTTAAATTACTTCTAAGTTAATGCAAATGTGTCTGAAGAATGTATGTTCTTTAGCTAAAAGGATGAAAGGATGTAATTTATAGTCATCTTTTATTATTTAATTAGCTAAAAGAAAAAACACATTGTTAAATCCTTCTTCCATTAATATTGAAAGCAGTTTCTGTTGGTTTCTCTGCAAGCAGCAGTGGGGAATTTTTGAAACTGTTCATTAAAATCTTTGTGCGGAAAAATACAGCAGTAATGTAAACAGTTACTAACATTTGTCTCAAAATTATTAGGAGTGATCAGTAGTGATTTCTTTCTTTCAAAATTCTTTAAAATTATGATAAATAGCAGTGCCTTTGGATAAATAACCATTGCACTTAATATCTGCAGTTTCAGCATTTTCCTAAACAAAAAAAAAAAGGGAGAGAGAATTGCAAAATCTTTAACCGGTCACCTGTCTGTTCACTAATAGAGCTCTTGCTATGGTTTCTTTCATTGTAGAAGTAATAGCATGAAAAGGTGGGAAGCTGTTACAGCCTTTCCTGCAGTGTAACTTTGTTAGCAGTGAAAGCTGTGGTGGAAAAATTTGGTTTTGTTCTTATAGAATCCATCTGCACAAGAAAAATCTTTGTCTTTCCATTAATCAAAACACCAAGCTAGTGATGAATTTACCAAGCAATACAATATTACCAGTGTGAAACTTAGCTGTGGAGTACATGGTAAGCAGCAGACAGCTGAATTCTTGTGCACCTATCCTTACAGCTTGCTCATTGTTTATTTAATGATGTCTTATGCATTCAGTTGTCTTCTATTCCTGGCCTAGAAGATGTCAAATATGAAGTGTCCAATGTCAATATGAATAGTGTTACAAATGGTCCTGTTACACAAGCTACTACAGATCAACAGACAAGTGTATCACCTCAGTCTGGAGTAAGTAGTGAAACATAAAAAATGTACTTAAGCGTGTGTTGAACATATATTCTTTCTGTCAAATTTCTAATCCAATTTAAAATGGATAGAAGTGAATCTAGTGAGAGAGCAACCAAGCCAACTTTGAACCTCTAATACTGCATTTTTCATTAATGAAATGATTTTAATAGGTAATTGGGCTTGCCCTTTTTGCTTTAAAGCCTTTTTCTGCTTTTGTGGAGCTTAAATAGTGAGAACTGATTCAATTCTTACAGTAAACAATTCCTTCTTTGTTAAATCACAGCAAAGTATGATCATGAGTTACATCGAGGAACTGGGAAGATCATTCATGAAAATAGTATTTCACATCCCTTGGTTGCAGTTCTTTTATTGTTCTTCTGGAGTGCTGCCTTTTAGCACAAACTGAAGTTCCTAGCATAGTTATTCTAAAGAGGCTAGTTACAATGAATGTTTTCAGTTTGTTTTCTCCTTGTTCATAAAATGTCCTTTTTTTTTTTTTTTTTTTTTTTGTAAGTGATCAAAATGAAGGTCTGATCCCTGCAATGACTGGCTGTGTATGTAGAACACACAAAATAGGCAGAAAGTCATACTTACAGCCATTCAGTAATGAAAGACTTGTTTTTAGTATTTTTTATGTGTTGGAATTCTATAACATTACCATTATAGATCAGAATATTGTGGTCTAAGACAAGCTTTGTAACCATTAACATATTCTTTTATTTGTGTAAAGCAGAACAATGTACCTGAAGAAGGGTTGCAGAAAACAGAAGTGGTAACAGAAAATATCAGAACAGTTGCAAAGGATCCAAGATATGCCAGATACCTCAAAATGGTACAAGTGGTAAGTCGCTTCTCTGATGCTAAATATCAGAAAGACAAGTACATTGCATCTGTAATCCTTAAGATAGAATAATATCAGAGCATTTCTAGGATATTTTCTCTTAGAAGTGATTTGAGCATGTTCCCTTGATTTAACACTAATCCTATAAACCTGCTAGTAAAGAAGTCAGGACAACCTCAGGAAAGATCTTTTCTACAACTTGCTGTCGACACATGTGTGGACTGAGGTTCTGGAGATGCATAAAGGCATCCTGATTCTAGCTGGAGTCATAGAAGGTGCTCTTAAAAGTGTATTCTGGCAAAATCATTATTCACTCCACGAGGACATATTATAGTTTGTTTTTACTGCAGGACACAAAGTGAAACTTTACTAGCGTAGCGCAGAGCAAATTCTGCATCACTGGTACTGTAGATTCCCTAATACCCATAGAAGATTTTGCTTCCCTGCTTAGTTCCCCTTTAGTTCCTTGTTACTCATGATGTAGTTTTTGTGTTTTCCTCTTTGCTGGCTTTCCTACAGATAAGTAGGAAATAAATGAATATAATCTTAGTATTCAAGGATGTGAAAACAAGCAAAAGGATGAAAAGATGAATTGGAGATTGCTGGGGACATCTTTCAAAAGCTGTTTTTTCACCTGTACAAAATTAAAAGTGAGGTTAAAACAGAAGTTTTTTTAAAAAAAATCTTTATTTTCACTTAATCACTGGAGATTTTTTTCTGAAGATATGTTAAAATTCTGAAAAATCCAAATAACACATAGATCTGGGTAAAATGTTGCTTGTATTAAAACTAACTGCCTGGTTTCATTCCCTCTTCAGAAAAACTGTTAAAATTGATGTGTCTGGTATTTGGGATGATATTCCAGACCTCTCTCTGCATTTGAATCACAAATTGGCACTTTATGGACAGCTCATTGCAAACTATTTGAAGAACTTAGTAACAGTGAAATGACAGGGAGCAGAACGCCATGTTAGCTTTTTGATGTAAGGCCAGTCTTAAAATTGGATGTGAAAGAGCTGGATAGTCTAATTACTTGGACTTTTTTTTGGTGACTGCTAAAGGAGTGAGATCTCACTTTCCACATTTATCCTTTCTACTGGCAGTTTCTGGTGACTCCTCTGCCAGTTGTAAACAGTGTGGTAGGAAAGTCAAGCTAACGTACTACAAGTTAATGTGCATTAATGGTGTTTGCCAAAGTGATCTTCTCAGACAATCGAGTGTTTGAGTTAGTGTAATTCCTTTGCCTGAATTAAGCCTCTAGCTGAAGATTTGTTGGAATTACTCATTTATTGCCCACAATATTTGTATTATTTAAGAGTTAGGAATCTGCAGAGATACTTCGTGTACACTGAGTTCTGTTCTGTGAAATAGTAACAAACTCATTTTAATGGAGTTTGCTAAATTCATATTTTTCAGATGTACAGAAACAATACTCAAACCTTAAAAAGCAATATAAATTTGCTATAGTGAATGTACAGAGCATTTATTCTGACAGAGAAGAAGAGTCTAGGTTGTCAGATAAAATTCACGTTTAAAATACAAATACTTCTATTGGATTCTAAACCTAAAACGTGACTGCATGTACTCCAAAGTACTGACAGTACTGACAAAGTACTGGATGTACCATGGTATTCATGTATCATGAGCATAAACTGATCTGTGCTTTGCATGGAATGAAGTAAAACTATCATGTGGCCTCTTTCAGCACCACAAAGTGCTGAAACTGCTTTTCAAACAGTATTGCTCCTTGCCCTGTGGCTTCTCCAGGGCCTTGCAACCTCCTGAGCAAGTGGGACCAGGCTGGGAGCAGGGCTGTGGTGCAGTGATCTGGATTACTATGAACTTTTAGTTTGGCAGAGACAAACGCGGTGGATCTTCAATAGCTGTAAAAGACACTTGATTATTGTTTAATTTATAAATGTAGTGTTTTGCATACTGGCATATTGATCAATTATATATATTTTTAACCTATCTTGAAGAATATTCACATGCTGACGTCCCTTTCATTGAGAGCAAAGCCTGAGTCCTGCTCCACCTGGTCAGCTGCCTCAGTCCTGTTTTCACTTGATATGAACTGATGCATAAGCACTTCATCAGGGACTCCTGAGCTCAGCTTGCTTTAAGTGCTGGGTTGGGGAGAGGAACCCTAAAAACTGCCAGGCGTGGAAAAAAATCAGGTAGTAAAAAATGGTTCACAGGGACTCACAATCCCTGGTGTTACTCCAAATCTATGCTAGGAGAAGTGATTATTTTAAATGCAGTCATGAAATAGGCAAATGCTTTCTACTTTGTAATGTACATTAGGGGTGGCTTATTGAGAAATTCTTTAATGTAAGTTAATGCCTCACAGTTGTTTCAGAGGAAGATTTTTGCTTCTATTCCTGTTACCATGTTAATTGATAAAACTATGCCTGTGGTTTTTTTTGAAGTCTTAATGCAGAAGCCTTGGTTGAGATTCTTAATGCAAATATCCACAGGAGAAAAAAAAAAAAAAGAGAGAGATCTAGACTAGCTCTCACTTCATCAGTTGCCTGCTGCAACTCTCAATAGTACCACAGGCTTTTCTGGAACATTAATCATGGCTGCCTTTTTGTATCACTGTTTTACTTGCTTCAAGCAAATATATTTGTTCTTTGCCAAAAGTCCCACATTACTGTTCATTTTGAAGCATCTCCTAGTCTTTCCTAGGCCACCACTAGCTCTCCTTTGGAGATTAGGAATTGGATCTTCTTTTTTCCTTCTCTCTCAGCATGCAGTGATCCAGGTGGTGTTTCTGATCCTCTGTGAAGGAAGATGGCAAAGCAACAAGTTGTCTTTGAGCAACTCTAGTGGAAATATAGTAGTAGTTTGTTGGAATGGATCTTGTAGGACGACGTAGGTCAAGCTGTTCTTGGGTATCCGGTCCAGGGTGAGGATGTTTAGGTGTTGCTGAATAAAATAAAGTGCAGAAGCTGTGGAAGTATTTGCAGTGAGAGGAAGGAATTTTTCTTAACACGTACATAGCTGGCTAAAATCCCTACACAAGTCACAGAAGATTCAAGCCTGACTGTACAAACACTTCTATTCAGAGGAATCACGTAAATTGTGCTTCTGTTCTCATGTCCTGTTTGCCTTTTTAAAAATGATTTCAATTTTTAGCACTGACTTAAAGTATCCTCCTTGAGCCCTAACTGATGTCCTTTCCTGCCTTTTTTCTGCCTCTTTATCTGTATCTTCAGTGTATCTGAGTTCTTGTCTTTCCAACACAACAGTTCTCTGCCTTCTTTTCTCATCCACTCTCATAGCTTCAGCTTACTGTGTTCATGCATGTGAGTTGCAGGTATCTACCTGCTTCTGTTTCCCTTCCCTCGACTTTCTCTGGATGTGTAGCCATAAATATCACATGGACTAAAGGGGCCTTTGACATTTCCTAAGAGGTTTCTCCCATTTTTCCTTCCCCTGCCACTTAAACTTGTAGTCAGCAGCAGCAGCAGAATTGTTTCTGCAGTCTGTGCCTTGCTATGTGCTTGTTTGAACTTGATCATTTATTGCTTTTAGGTTCATACAGGGCCACTGAAATTATCATCCCATCTTGTTCCAGAAGAGTCGCATGTGTAATTGTGTATGAAAGTCTAAAAGAACCTGTGGAATTTATTTAGTTCATGTACAGTAGACTTATATTACTCTTCCTCCTCCTACCCAGGGTGTTCCGGTAATGGCAATAAGAAACAAAATGATTTCTGAGGGGCTAAATCCAGATCTTCTTGAGTAAGTAATATTTTCAACTTGTAACTTGCAGAAGAGAGAGACTGCAATCACGTGTTTTAGAACTTGGCAAGAAAAAAAAACTCATTAGACAGACTTGTTTATAGTGTTGTGAATCCAAATAAGAAGCATTAAAACAGGTTTTGAATTCTTTTATAAATGCTGTTTTAGCATTTTTTAGTTCATAGAGTCATGACTACCAAAGGAGCAGTGAAACAGTCTCAACAACGAGCTGTCTTTTCAATATTTTCTAGCCCAGGACAAGACCCTGTAGAAAAAAGGGTAAATTTCACTATCATCATTAAACACCAGTAAGAATAACATGTCCCTTACAGGAGAGACAACAAACCTCTTTTCTAGATTCCCTTAGCAGCCAGCGTGTACAACCTGACAACACTGGCACAGAAAAGTAAAGCCAACAGCTCTGGACTGTGGCTGTTGATTGAGGTAACCCAGTGTGAAGAATACCAGTGAAGAATAGATGTTCGTTTTCAAAGCAACTTGTGTGGCCATAAGCATTTTCTTACACACTTGAAATTCATTTTAATCGTGCTGCCCTGTTTTGTAGAAATTCTGTTAAACTGATCACAGTGAAATATTAAATAGTAAAATTCACTCATACAGAATAGCCACTAAATTGCTTGAAAAACTTTTGCAGCCTCTGCAGAAACTGTCAATGTATTAGGAAATCTGTTAATCTTTTAGAAACTGTTTCTCCTTCCCAGTGAAGCCTTCTCACATTTTGGAAAGGCTTATTCTGAACTAACTCCTTTTAAAAAACAAGCAAAAATATCAGAAAACTGAAGCATAGTCATATACTGAATCACTGTATCTCCCAGCTATGTGTAAATGCTGCTATTTCTTTATGTCTGGATGGATCTTAACAGCCGATAAGAATAAAATAACCTGTTTATCTTCCTACCTTCTGCTTCCTTTTGTACTCTTTTCACAGAAATTGAAAACTATTCTCTTTGACTCCCAATTTATTTATTTTTATTGTCTCTTTCTTATCCTTTCTCTCTTGTCTGTCTACAATTCCATGAGATTGTCTGAACTACAGCATTGATATCTTTTTTTTTAATTTTTTATTTTATTCCTTATTAAAGGAGAGTCGTCTCTCCAGATCACATCTCCTTGCACAGCTCCTCTGTTTTGTCATTACCATGACAACAAGGAATAATATTGTGAAGTGCTATTTGCATGAGAAGGCAAAAGCTTTCGTAATTTATTTTGGAGGTGGGCAAGGGGTTGGGGGGGAAAAGACTGTTTTATAGTTCTTCTAATACACTTTTCACTTTTGTACCAGAATGTTTATAAGCACTTTAAATATATCTTGGGATTTCCAACAGGGGGAATACAATGAGTAGATCTTAAGTTGGAAAAGAAATTCTCTGGCATGACACAGAGGGCTAATGCACAGATAAATGTCAACAGGACTAACAATATAATTACTGAGTCAGTTTAAAACTTGGCATTTTACTAGAGAAAGCAGTAAACTGTGACACAAGAAACTAGTTTTCATGAAGATCACTCCTCCCCTTCCCCAAGTATAATTCTGTGCATGTTTCGTACATTGGTTTCTGAATTTACCACCCTCCATTTGCTTGTATTGTCAAACTGGCAGCATACTTGGAAGGAAAACTTAAGAGGGAGAACCAGGATTCTTAGCTAACAGTATTCATTATTCTTTGGGTGCCTTGGTTCCTTTTTCCTCATCCCCAGTAGACTCCGTGAGCAGAAGTTTTGACATGGTGTTACAGATCCATCTTAAATGTTCTCTTCAAAACTAGATACAAAAGGTTTGATCATTTATAGTCAATAAAAATCCCATGGCTGCTCTTGCATGTCAAATTTAACCCAGTGTTCTAGCCAAATTCCACTCTGAGTAATTCTTTTTTGCTTCTCTAAATTATCCCTGAAGTTTTAGTTGGATGCAGTATTGTTCATTTCCTGTCTTATTTTTTCATGTACTATTTACACTGCTTAATGGTGTACAGCATGTTCCTTTCAGCCATAGAACCTCTGAAGATTAATAAATAAATAATAAAGTTAATCACTATTGTGTGTTTTAAACTCTCTATTTGAGTGTTTGCTGCTGCTTAGCGCTGTGCCGTTGTTTCTGATAGCCCCAAAGGGATGCCTTCAAACGTATGTCTGCAGAGTTTGGAAGTCCAGTGAGTTGCAGTTTCTAGTGTTCATCTTTCAGTGGTAGCTGAAGAAGCACTGTGTGCATGTGTGTGTGTGTGAGCTCTCAGCAGTTCAGGTGTTAAATGTTGTGGCTGTAAAGCGCATGCAATTACAGTAAAAGGCATTAAAATGTACTAATCTACTTGCGTTCTCAGATGCCTCTCAGATTAACCACACAGAACCTTTCTGTTGCCTGCAGGACCCCGGATGCCCCTGTGCCTGCCTGGGGAGATGATGGGAATGCAGAAGAGAGTTCTGATAGTGAATCCTCATTCAGTGACTGAAGAGACTGGGTTCAACCACTGGAAACTTCTGTTCAGTGCTAGTGGGTTTGAAGCTCTAGCAGAGACGTGTTACGCTTGGGCCACGTGGGTGATGATTTATCTGATAACTTTTCTTATCACTCAGATCTTCCAGATTCTCTCACAGAAAATCTGAACCTTTCCACCATGTGAATTAATCATGAGGTTCTTGCAATTGTTGTTAGTGCATTATTTCAGATTCTTTATGAAGATTCTTCTGAAATTACTAAAAATTCCACGTGTCTAAAACTCCTGTTCTCTAAAGCCGTGTTGTGGTTGTCTGTGTAACAACATTATTACTCTGAGTTGCCATCTTTCTGTCCCATAACTTACAAGTAAGGTAACTTTTCAGGTGAAATTGTTAACTGTAAAGTGCAATTTTTTATAATATACTGTATACTGATAGAACAGCTGCAGTAGAACAAGAATCAACAAGAACCAGGAGAATCAACAAGAACAAGAACCAACTATTGTGTGGTCATAGAATTGTATACTGATAGAACAGCTGCGGTAGAACAAGAATTTCACAGAAGAACCAACTATTGTGTGGTCATAGAAATCAGTGATACTCTATTTGGAAAGAAATTGAACAAGTGGAGAAATACACAATTTGAATGTGTTTTCAAAGTGTGCACTACTATTCAGTTTCACTTGCATGAGTTGTTAACAGAAATTTCTGCTCTGTAGAGAAGGTAGAGAAATCAGTTTATCATGTTACAGTAGTGTACAAAGCTGCAAATTTGCAAGATTGTTTTGAAAATGTCACCGTTGAAGTGAGCAAGGAGGACATTGTTAACAGAATACCAGAGTCTCACTGCTTGTTCACGGTTGCACAGGTCAGTAGAAGCCACTTTCTGACAGCTTTTTGGGCCATCTGAAATGAGCTGTGGCTCTGCAGTTCACAGAGGATAAGAAAGCACCTCTAGGTTGATGCCAATGGTGGTAATTTCAGCAAAGTCGTCAAAATATGGTTTATGTAATGATTAACTTCCTCAACCCTTGAAGTATGCATTGACAAAAAATGTGAAGAATCACTCGGAGCCGAACTCACCCACAAGATGGATCATCTCTCTTCCCTGCAAAGCACTTAGTCTATGACATGAGTCAAAAATGACATTTCATTAAAGATTCTTCTTTTATATAATTTGTTCCACATGAAATTCTTCCCTATCTATTTGAATTCTTCAGATTGCTGTGATTATACCAGAATCCTGTGGGCCAGGCAATCATTCACTTTCTGCTATTTCACATTCTTTCTGAGATCAAGAAAATATTAAAACTGTAGCTCTGAGGATATAAATTTGTTAACTTTTATGACTGAGTCATTATCTCCGCTCTTAGTTATTTATGCCTCTTCCATAGGTTAACTGCATTTTTTCTGTAACTTAAGCATGGCTCCCTTTTGAGTCTAGTCAGTGTAATTAAGCTCTTCATAACTAGTATATCAAAACAATACATGAATCCCTAGAAAAGAATATTTGCTTCAGAGAATGTCTAGAAATGGTATTTCAGTAAAGAGTTTTTACTGAACACTTAATAGATGTGTTCAATAACACTTGGCAAAACTTGGCGAGTATTAACATATTAGCAATAAATATTTTAAAAGTGAATGTTGTAATGGTATTTCAGAAAACATGTTAAAATACTGGTAACTTTATGAAATCTATATTTGAAAATTCATTGAAGCGATCTATATAAATAAACTTATGTTTTGTATACTGAAATTGTGGCCTTATTTTGTTCCCATGTGTTATTTTAAACAAGCTTATGAAAATTCTTCTGGAGTCCCTGTAATTATATCATGTTTCTCGAAGTCTGGTTATGCTGAAGTTGTACCAACCTGTTAGCTGAAGTAGCTGCTACCTAAGGAGAAACTTGAACCAAGAATGTTAATGAAAAGGGTATGTTTGATGCTGTAAGTCATACTGCTTCCTTACATAAATTAAGATGAGCTTGGGGGTTGACTTGAGACATAGCATTTAGGTTTTTCTTAATAAATACATTCAGTTAACAAAATGTATTTCAGGAAGTGTTACTTCTTTTATCATTTTGAAGAAGCTTTTTCTATAAAGTAATGTTAGTCTGAAGAGATCAAAGCTGATTGTCTACTGCACCACTGCAGATGTATTATGTGAAATGAAACAGGAAGCCTCTAGCCCACAGTTCCTGGTTATAATGAGGAATAATTAACTGGTAATTGCATATATATGTGTCACAAGTAGCAATTTTGCCAGTAGGCACGCGGAAGTAATTGTTTAGGAATTGGTTCTTTGCAAGGCAGCTGTTTGCCATGGAATAGTGTGATCTTGATAGGCCTGCAGAAATCTTGAGACAAATCTTGCCATTTTGTCTCAGCTCTCACTTCAGTGATGCCACGGTAGACTGTGAAAATCCAGATGTTTGAACTGCGGGGATCCAGGGAAAAAAAATATTCTTTGCTTCCACCATCAGCAATCTCTTGCTTTTGATATCTTCAGAACCTCTGAGCACACTGAACTCCTCTGTTCCTGCCAGCTTCATCTGTTAAACACATCCCTGTTCTCTAAGACTGCAGCCAAGTTCAATCTGAGATGTTTCAGCTCAGGACACATGCTGACACCAGAAGTTATTAAGTATGGGATGGTTGATTTGGGACAGAATTATGTCAGCTGTTCTAGTCCTCCTTGATCTACAGCAGTTTTCTAGTGAGCTGGTGCTAACCCAGGAAGCTGGAAAGTCCTTAACCACAAGCTAAATACTATAAGCAGCGAATATTCCAGTTTGCTCATTATTTGCCATCTGTTTTGCAGTAGAAAATGGAGGAAGTGTTTCAACTTGGCTGCATAGTAATCTGATACACAGTCAATTCAGGGGGAGAAATCCAACTTGAAGTTACTTGTTTTTAAGAAGCTTCCAAAGGCTGAACTGCTGAAAGATGCAGTATAGAGTAAGAAAGATGCGTTAGTCATATGCCTTTAATACATCCAAATTGTACATGGGTTTAAAATCTTCACCTGGGGCAATATTACAAGTTACTGGCATGAGAACTACTTCAATGTTTTGCTGGAATAACTGTCATATGCATATGTCCATAAAAATTATGATGTAATGTTTAAATGATTAGGGGGTTATCCCACCACTGTGAACTACAATGTGTAAAGATCAGCTTCTTAAAGATACTACAGCTGTTGTAAATGCATCTGGGTGTTTGAAGGCTAGATGTTTATCTGTATGAAAGTCAAAGCTCAGACAACCATCAAAGACAAAACCAATATGTGTACTGGGCAGTGACTTCATGCTGAAGGCTTAATCATTAATTTATTCCCTCTCAGCTCTCCTGTTCAGCTACATTGAAAAGAAATCCCGTGGGTTTTTTTGCTGTCCATCCATCTCTTTTCTCCTTCCAGTGCATATTATTTACACTGTTGATTTAAGTGCATATTTTGAAATTTTGGAGAAAAACAAGTCTTAAAAATTATAGACTGTACTTGAAAAGCAGAAAATATCACTAAAATTAACACTTCTAGTTGTGTGTGATGAAGCCAACTTTGCTTTCCATAGGGTTATATCAAGAAACCAAAATTCATCTCAGGCATAAGCTTATTGGGAATCTACTCATCTGCTTTGTCATATGAAAGTTGACAATAGGAAGGGCCACATTAGCTCAGGCCCGTGACTTGCTTAATGTCATGGTTCTTGCTCTGATAATGATCAATACGGCATTCTTTAAGGTAAGATGTGAGAAAATACCACAGAGCTCCAGTAGTGGCCATCTTCTAGCAGGATTTTATTCTAAAAGCAGAGTGACTCCATTGCTAAATTACAAGTTAATTATTGCTTCTAAAAGCTTTCACATTAATTCTGAAAGCGATTAATTTTCTTGTCTTGCGTTTGACTGTCCGACTTTGCTAATACAATACTGTTTTATCTGAGGTTCCTGAGCTATTTCATTATGAGGAAAACTAAGCAGAAAGTTAAAATTATGCACCCCTTACCACACAGGAGATGAGTGACAGAAACAAGTTTAGGTAGTACGTGTCTACAAATATTCTCATTTTGAGGAAACTTCACTATTAATGGCTGTACTTTAAAAGGCAAGTCATTTGGTGAGGGCAGGAATAATATGAAAACCTGTGTATTTTTCCATTTTTTAAGGGTTTTTGAAATACTGAATTATGACAGTCTTGACCTCAAACAATTTGGCTATTTTCTCGATTCCAGGAGTCAGGTTTTAGAGGTGGGTTGCAAGGCACGTACTAATGCATTTTGGAATCCAAGAGTGAGTTAAAGCAAATGTCTCTCCTGATGAGAGAGGAAATGAGTGGCCAAGAAGGCAAATGGCATCCTGGTTTGTATGAGGAATAGTGTAGCCAACAGGAGCAGGGAAGTGATCGTTCCTCTACGCTTGGCTCTGGTGAGGCCGCGCTTCGAATACTGTGTTCAGTTTTGGGCCCCTCACTGCAAGGACATTGAGGTGCTGGAGCATATACAAAGAAGAGCAATGAAGCTGATGAAGGGGCTGGAGCACAGACCTTTCGAGGAGGGGCTGCGGGAACTGGGGGGATTTAGTCTGGAGAAGAGGCTCAAGGGAGGGCTTATTGCTCTCTCCAACTACCTGAAAGGAGGTTGTAGTGAGGCGGGGGTCAATCTCTTCTCCAGAATAACTATAGATAGGACGGGAGGAAATGGCCTGAAGTTGTGCCAGGAGAGGTTCAGGTTAGACATTAGGAAGAAGTTCTACATGGAAAGAGTAGTGAAGCGCTGGAACAGGCTGCCCAGGGAAGTGATAGAGTCACCATCCCTGGCAGTGTTCAAGAAACGTGTAGATGATGCACTTAGGGACATGGCTTAGCAGGGATGGTGTTGAAGGGCTTACGGTTGGACACGATGATCTTGAAGGTCTTTTCCAAACATAATGATTCTATGATTCAAAGATTGTTGGCTTATTATCATAGTTTAAAACCACAGAACTCTGTCTTTAGTGCTCTTCCATTTTAAAGGAAGTCTCTGATAGCTTCTATATCACAGTTTAATTGTGGAAAGTGTGTCAGCCTGATTTCCTCTCAGAATACCATCAGCTTGTACATGTGCCTGTCCTTAATTTTCC